AAGAAATAATTTTAAAACCCCTAAGTAAAATGAAATATTTAATTATACGTTCTGAATGTGACATTAGTGTGAATACTAATTCATACTTTCCTGTGTCCATCCATTCATCTGCAGCATATTTATTAAGTACCTACTATGCAAAGTGCCAGAATAGATGTATACCCTTAAAATTTTGCTACATCTTTTATATTCACTGAGTAACACTGACTTTCTCAGAGTTGAAGAAAGATAAATGAGATCTGTGTCACCATCCTAGAATGATTTGCTTCAACATTAAAGTACTTTTTTAAACATTGATTTAATATTTCAAAATATATATGCATCTTTATTCTCCTTTTATACAGCTTCTGAAATATTTTTTGAGATTTATAGGTATACTGTGTTTGACCATGAAATCAATGGCCCACTATCTTATTGGGTGGAATGTTCTTTTTTCCAGGTGGGGCAGGCTAGTCTAGGGTATGTGCTCCTGATTAGTTCCCTTTCCTTCTTTTATTGGACCAGCGTTCAGGCCTTAGTCATCTCCTACAGAGAGGAATTGTGTGTGCTGTATGTGTTTGCACCTGGATCTTGGGGCCACTGTCTTTCTTGGTAGGGAGACCCATGCTGTGCATAACCTGCAAGAGGCAGTGAGCGAGGCTGTTGCCCTTGGTTACAGCTCTCTTGTTCTAGTGGAAAGTGGCTTTTCAGGTAGGCAGATTGGTGTTTAAATCCAGTCCCCCTCACTTCTTCACTTTGTTATGTTAGAAATATTATCTCTGAGTCTCAGTTTCCTCATTTGTAAAATGTGGAGAATATTGTCTATCTCATGGATTTCATTCACTGTCAAAAATTTACTTCCCTTTCACTATCAATAAATATTTGCTGAATGTAATTAAGTGATAATATTTTTGTAATTACATGTAACAAACTCATTGTGATTATTTGTTTTACCTGTTGAGTTTCTGTTATGGGCTGAATATTTATGCCACCCTGAAATTCATATGTTGAAGCCCTAGCCCCCTGTGTGATGGTATTTGGTGGTAAGAGCCTTTGGGAGATAATTCGGTTTAATTAGATCATAAGGGTAGGACCCTCATGATGGGATTAGTGCCCTTAGATATCTCTCTCTCTCTCTCGCCATGATCATGATCCCAGGAAATGCCATGTAAGCACACAGCAAGAAGGTGGCCATCTGCAAACCAGAGTCCTCACCAGACACCAAACCTTCCAGCACCTTGATCTTAGACTTCCCAGCTTCTAGAACTGTGAGAAATAATTTTTTGTTGTTTAAATCACCCAATCTATGGTATTTAGTTATAGCAGCCCAAGCTGACTAATTCAGTTTCCTTTCTAAATTTCTCACTAACTCCTTAGGGTAAGATCTATAATTTTCATCTTTGTTTAGGATCCTCAGTATTTAGTGTACTACCTAGTACATGGAGCTCAAATAACTGTAGAACACAACTTAGGATGTAGAATTGGTCCTCATGTTCTTATCATTATCTACAGCCTTCACTGATCACTCTCCCCATCACTTGTACACAAAAACTCCTGATGTTTTAGACAAATAGACTAAAGTAAAAACTTACAATTTGATCAAAAGGCTCTGAGGGAAAACAGTATGATATAGTTTCCACTATTAATTGGGTATGAAACAAAATGGATTTAAATTCTAACTCTGCCATTTATTAACTGTGTGAGTGAAGAAAAGTTATTTTACTTGACCAACTCAGCTTTTTCATCAAATAATCTTGGCAGACCTGTTTTGAACATTAGATGATATCATGTAATAAAAAAATGTGAAGGTTATCTGAGTAGTTTTATCGCTCTGTATTTTTATTTAAATGTTTACACTGTTTCTCAATTTCTGAAAGAATGATTTTAGACTCACCCAGAGATCTCTTGAATATCATTCTTTGTTTCGAAAGTATTTCCTTGTGGCAGGAAGTGATAAAAACACATGGCACAGACAGCTAGTGACTGAAGAGGAAGTTAATGGTGTTTGTTTTTCCTCCAGAATTAGTAGTTCAAAAATTAAAAATAAAAATGTGTCTTGCCAAGTTTGGAAAATACACAGAATGCTTTGATTGCTGGATTACAATGGACCTAATTTTTTGACATTACTATTTCTTTCATATTTATTAATTGAAGTGCTTTTTATTTAAAACTTTGAGGCTTTACATTTTATTTTGTAAATGAATGATTAAAATATTCAAATGCCCTCAAATACATGTGGGATTTATTTTCTTCTTTACCCTGTAGACTTAGAAACCAAGAGAAGGCTTAGAGTAAAGCATTTTGAAATCATTGACAAACACAAATAATACTGTTAGGATTCCATGTCAAGACTGTAATGCCTCTGAGGAGACAATGTTTTAGGTGGTTTTTAGGCTATAAAGGGAAGAAGTAAACAAGGAGGCCTTTCTCCAGCCACGTACTGAAAAAACCCCAGTTGTGATTGAAAAGTATTGTTTGACACAAAGCCAACTCATTTTTCACCAGAGATTCCTGCACAACCACAAGTTTAGGGCATTACTAAAGGTGGTGGAAATGAGGTAGGATGAGGTGGGGGGTGTTGCAGCAGAAGACGGCCAATTAAGAAAATCAACAAAAATGACAATAAATGCTATTCTAGAAAAGTTTATTTAGAGGAACAAATTTTATAGTTTGTAAGGGAGAATGCACCTACTTGGAAATATCTTTTCATTTAATTCAAATCAAGATTTATGTGGTTTGCTGCTGCTGCATGAGTATCATTTTGACTTTTGCTTAGCTGTTGCCTGATGGTTTGCAAAGATTCAGATGTACTTTGTTATGGGTAAAAGGGATTTCCTTTGGTAGATGTTTAACTTTTAGTTTCCGAATCCCTGTGCTCACTTCTGTTGTCAGGTTTGGCCGTGTTCGTGCACCCTGAGAAAATCACTTTTAAAGCCTGTTGAGTGGAAAGGATCATGGGTATTTACTGTGAGGAAGAAGGGAAGGCAAAGATGTTGTAGGGGTTATATCATTTCACTCAGGAATTAGCTTTGGAAAGCTCATTGAGGAACTAGTATTTGGGAGTGGTGGATATTTTTAGATTGCTTCTAAGTAAAATCATGCTTTTTCTTGCAATGAACTGGAAAGATATCATCTAGTCCAGTGCTTTCCAAACTGCATGTCATGAACTGTTAGTGGGCCATGAAATCAATTTAGTAGTTGCAATTAAACAATGAAATAGAATAAAATACACTACAATATACCAGAGTGCACACACATTGTAGTATTAAGTATTAATTTGTGAACCTGACGTTTGAGTTTTATATAGATAATCATGTTTATACTGCATTTAATATGAAATGAATTTTTCAGTGTGAGTAGCAGTTGAAGAAGCTTGAAAGCCACTGATTGAGTCCTCTCTTATTTTTCAGATGAGGAAGTTAAAATAGGCTGACTCCTAGTTTATTTGATTGGGCCTCCTTGAGGTAGCTTATCTATCATTGTCTTTCCCCTGTTAGGATTTTATTTTGATCATCTATGCATCTTCTACATTTTTTCTCCTATACTTTAAAATTCCTATATTTTTATCACCAGTAATTGAGTCAGATGTGCTGATTCTGGAGAGATGAATCTTCACTGAGCCTCTGAGCACCATGCTGGGGGGCGATGGGGGTTGGTACTTGTGATTCCAAGTGAAAAAGAACAGAACCTTTACAGCTGTCTCTATAGATAAGGCCAGTTATTTTCCATAGGTTAAGTCAGGTGGAAAGTTGGAAAAATAATCTAATAGGTTTCATCAATAGATACAGATAATCTTTATTACTTCTACCACTTTTTTCAGTTCAGTTCCACAAATATTTATTGAGCTCCTGCTTTGTACCAGGTATTTAGTCAGCCACTTACTTCCTTCAGTGTGGGGAATGAATATTCAGATAATTAAATTGATCCCTCATTTTGCTTGTAGGATACCCTGGTGGATTTATGGAAGTGTGAGGTGTTTTGTCAAAGATAATAGAAATGTAACTCCATGTTTTATAACACAATATGCCACTTTGGAACTCTGTTGTGCTTTATCTAGAAATTTCCTGATATCTTGAACTCAGCCTTTCACTGGTTAGGAAGTCCTGCAATGATAAAGTTCATGTAGAACGTTTTCCTGTATCTTGCTTTCATAGCACGTTGATTTTTATTGAACTTTCTCCCTCTTGCTATTTACACAATGTCAGTTCTGCACTAAGAGCTGATGGAGGTTTGTCCTTTTTCTCTGACAACCTGAGAATCAAGGCAGCAGGACCAAGGGGCCAACTGTCTGGATGCCGTGTGGGGTTTCCAACTTCCCACGTTGTTACTGCTTCTTGTTTGCCTTTCTGTGTGGCAGTTCCTGAATTCAGGTGGTGTTCTGTTTTCCATCTCTCCTTTTGTTTTTAAAGTGGTGGTGCAAAGTGTATTATTCTGTTTAGTTTGGTTATTAGTTGAATATTGGCCACACAGGTCATTGCCTGAGGCAGCTACATCATCAGCAAGTAGTCCCCAGATGGCACTATGAACCTGCTTTTTCTTGATGGCTGTCAGTACAGAGGATATACGTTAGGTCTAAGCCAGCGGAGGGCCATGTATTAATAGACCCTGATCTTGGTGGTGGTCTAGAAAAGCTGCTGCTTTTTAAAGAATTCTAAATCTTTTTAATCTTTGCTATTTTAAAAGATTAAACATAATTTGAGGTCATTTTTACTTGCATTCTTGATTATTAGTGGTTTTAAACATTTTTTCCACATATTTATTGGATTTTCTTCTTGTTTTAAATTTCTGTTTTTGCCCTTTGCTCATTTTCTTTTAGACTGTTTTATTTTGTTATTGATTTATAAGAGCTTTGAGCATAGTATTGAAATCTTTTTATCATTGTAAAGTATATATATAATAAAATTTACCATTTTAACCCTTTTTGAGTGTACACTTTAGTGGTGTTAAGTACATTCACATTATTGTGCAGCCATCACCACTATCCACCTTCAGAACTTTTCCATCATCCCAAAGTGAAAGGAAAAAAAACATAGTTAGATGCCGTGGAGTAGGTGGCAATGTCTTAACCATATACATGTTGTGCAGGCCCAAGGACCTCCTTCATCTTTGGAAAGGGGAGTGCTAACCTTATCTCCTTTCATATAACACTAGAAAAACTTCTTGAATGATGTAATCCTCTAATTGTTTCTCTGGATCCAAAGCTTCCTTGATTATTGCTACTTCACTTTAAAAGATGCATTTATACATTAAATAAACAGGTGAAAAGCTGTTCTCATATGACCATCTTACTGAACAAGTTCTATTTTGTTGAGTCTTATAGTTCCCCCACTTTTTATTTAATCTACTCGTGTGTGATGTTCTCCTTGCTTGCCAATGTGGTATTTCCAGCTGTGCAGGGAAATTAATTTTCTATGTAAAAGGACAATTCCAGGAAACTATCTATTAAGGTTATAGGAGGCAAAGAGAATGTTGTTTTAAAAATTTTTTCTGGTGTTCTTGGCTTTGTAAGGGGAGGAAAACGGTTGATTTAAGAGTTCATGGTTGGCAATTTGTTTTTTAACTAATATTATTAAAAAAAAACTTTGCCACTGATCGCAAAGGTGGTCAACAATAGAGTGTGTGTGGCACTGAAAACTTATCCTCCATTTAACAAAACAATCCTAAATGGATCTTCCATGAACTCTGAAACCTTTTTTGGACAATAGACCCCTTTGTGTATCTGACTGATTCTCTGCAACCTCAAAATCTAAGGCCCACAGAATCTTATGCAAAACCCTAGGGGCCAGGTGTGTTTGGAAATGAGAATTTATCAGATTTTAAGAAGGTAGTATGGAACATATACCCTGTGTTACATGTCATATCACCTTCAATGGAGTCTGGGACAGCTCCTTATAATAAAAAAATTTATTGTTTCTGTAGTGAAATTCATAGATATTAATACTAAATGATATAAAGATGATAAATGGCCTCATGTCTGTTTAGGACAGTTTTTGTTGCCAGATGAGCTTAGATTTGTTGCCAAATGAGTTATAAAAAATGTTCTTTAGGATCATGGATAAGGGACAAACAAAATATCACCTGTACTTCAAGGACTTCCAGCTTCCTTGGTTAGAAGTGGCTTAGCTCCATGCTCCAACTGTGCCTGCTTCTGCCCTGCTGCACTCCAGTTGTGGGCTTAGCATTCTTAGTATTAGAGACATTTTTGCTTCTGAGGCTCTGTACCTATTACTCAGTGATTCTTCTGCTGAATTTAATCTCTTGTTTTTCAGCGATTTTATGCCTGGATTCTGATCCTTTATTACCCAATATGTTTGCCATTGTGGTACATGTCTCATTATGCTGTAAACATCAGACCTTAAAAATAGCTTAAAATATATATATATATATATATATTCTTCATTGTCTCTATTCCTTTGCACTGGTTATTCTCAGTGCTTGAAATGCCTTTTCCTCTCCTCCTCCTGTGAAGTGTATCCCCTATGATATCATTCTACTAGACAGTTTAGTTTCTCCCTCTGTTTTATTCCCTGTTTTCCCTGAGAGCTTTGGATCAACATTTGCTATAACCTGCAGTACATTGTTCCATAATAATTGAATAGTTATCTATCTCGTATCAGACTTTAAGATTCTTGAGAGTGGTACCTGTTTGTATATCCATTGACTTGCATAGTGCTTGGCACATCACAGATTCAAAGATTTTCGGCCCAAGATAAATAGAAGGTGTGTAGTTGGAAGTGATAGGGTGAGATCGGGGATCAGAGAAAAAGGGATGTGCAGTAGAAATAAGTTAGAGAACAAGACAGAGTAGTTTAGAGTAGCAATGGTTTTGTTTAGCTTAAATGCACGTGAGGATTAGAAAATTAAAAGATTTATGTGGTTTGGAGAATTAGGAAAACTTCAAAAAGGAGTTGAAGCTGGAGACAAACCTTGGCAGGTGGATGGGATTGGGTTAGGCCAAGAAGAGTGCACCTTGCTTTCCAGAGAGAGGGAGTATGTTGAGGAAGGAATGGATGTTGATGAGTGAAGAACATATTTAAGCTATTGGCCCATTATAGTAAGTTCTGAATGAGGAGAGTGATGGAAGAAACAGATCAGTAGGCCAAGTAGAGCTGGACTATGTACAGCACTATATTATAAGAAAAAGAATTGGCTCTATTTAGAGTAAGATGCCATTGTGAGTTAAGTAATAGAATAAGACGGATATGATAAAAACAACATTTCTGAAAATAAATGTATCCTCAGCATATTCAGTCTGATGCCTGAACTAAAGGCTGGGAAGGGGACTGGTTTATATCCTTTTGCTGAAAACTCAGTAGGTCCTTATGATCATAAGGGCCTGAACTGAGATAATAATAATGAGAATGAGAATGGAGAAAAGAGTGTGAAACTTGTGAAGAGTAAAACCATAGTGTGATGATTAATTTTTTGTGTTGATTTGACAGGGCCGCTGGGTGCCAAGATAAATGGTCAAAAATTATTCTTAGTATTTCTGTAAGGGATTTTTGGATATGATTAACATTTAAATCTGTAGACCGAGTAAAGCAGATTGAACCTTCATAATGTGGGTGGGCCTCATCCATTTAGTTGAAGGCCTCAATAGTACAAAAGGCTGACCCACACTGAATAAAAGAGAATTCTTCCTGACAGCCTTCAAACTGGAACATTGGTTCTTCCTGGTTCTACAGCAGTCTGCTGGCCTTCAGACTTGAACTGGGACATCATCTCTGCAGATTTTGGACTTGCCAGCCCCCATGTCACGTGAGCCAATTCTGAATAATAAATCTCTGTTTCTCTGGAGAACCCTGAGTAATACTCATAGGATATGGAGACTGACTAGATACGGGAACCATAGGTGAGGAAGTAATTAAGATGACTTAAAACTTGGGACTGAGAATTCTGGAGAATGATGACAATAGTAATAGGAATAGGGAAGTTGAAGTAGTCAATTTTGAGGGAGAATTTGTTTGGTTTTGGTTTTGTTGACTCTGAAGTAATATTGGAGATTCAAGTGAAATTATTTTAAGCAGCTGTGGTAAGCCAGGTAGGTAGCTTGCATGGGTTAGGCTGGGGGTGGCATCCTGCAATCATCTGCATGCAGGTGAACAGAAGTCACATGACAGAACCAAGTCCACAGGAAAGTGAGAGAGAGGAGCAAAGGGTAAGAATTGATTGAGGCTCTCCAGGTGGGAATTACGGGACTGGAGGAAAAAGATGAACCCAGTATACAAAAAACTAGTTGGTGACAGAGTTCATTCTTGACGTTGGTTTGTCTATCTCCTGCACTAGAAGGAAAGCTCCATGAGGGCAACCATTTACCCGCTCCTGTTTACTCAGCTTTAAATGTTGTCCTTCAGACTCTCGAGATCTCTAGACATTGCTTCTACCCTTATTTTTCACTTTAATGAAAACCAAAACAGGAATTAGGATTCCTTTGCTCTAATCTTGACTTGGCATTTAAGTAGATATATAGAATCAGGTTTCACATTTTTATTCCTAGGGCTTTGATTTCCTTTCCAAAAAAGTGAAAATTGGTTTAAGAATTTCTAGAATTCCTTACAACTGAAAAACTCTAGGGAAAAATATCTATATGTCAAAAAATTGTTCTAAGCTGAAGTGGCCCTGGATAAATTCAGAAAAATCAAATTTTATGACAAATTTTCCTCCTCACCTCTTTTTTTTGAAGTTTTTATTAATCTAATATCAATCAAAATATTGTAATATGTTAAATAAATCAAAACTTTGTCTAAAAGGAGCTTTGGGCCAAAATTTTTTCTTCCTAAATATTAAAGATGTGATTAACAAAGCATTCCGGGGGCGGCGTGAAGCCTACTTTACATAGCTTTAAATTAATATAGCTATAAAAACACACACACGCACAAAACACAAAACACAAAAGCAGTATTTTTCCTCAAATTCTCACGCTACAAAGAAATTTCAGTTCTTATGGAATTTTTATTCTATTACAAAGCCTTCTAACTTAAAATGTTCTCATAGAATCAACTTACGTAATTTTAAAAAAAGGAGAGGAATCGTTGGTTAAAATTATCTTGTGTGTTTACCATTCTTTATTCAAAATTGTATTGTACTTCCTCATATGTTTCTAGATCTGTGTTAATATCATACAATCTCCCATACCCATTTTTAATTTACTTTGGGAGAATACTTTCTCTTCTGAATAGCACATTCCTCCAAGCCATATCCAGTATCAGTTTGGGGTATTTGGTTAGTGTGTGATGTTTAAGTTGGAATCTTTATCCTTTAACATTTTTTCTCCTGACTGTACAATTTGAAATATGGTGAATTTCTAAAAATAGTTTCAAGAAAATGACCTCTCTATTTAAAAAATATACAGCACATATGTTGATATATTTGACACAGACACTATTAAACCGTTGGGAAGTAGATGCCATAACCTTTAATCCAAAGGCACTAGAACACTAGCATTAAAAACCAACATTTTGTTTATTAAATGGAACTTACTGCATCCCTGGGAGATGCATTCTGTGTTAGATATTGTTTATCATTCTGATTGCCTGCCTTCTCAATTTCTGGTGTGCAAGAGCACTCTTTCTGGCCATTCTTGCTCAGTGACTGTCTACAATGTGCAACTTCCATCTGGAGATAATCTGCCTTAAACTAACAAAGTGCCGATGTTGGTTTTTGTGTCATTTAATGTCTCTTTTACTTGTTTTCAGGCTCTTTAATTGAGGACAATTAACAGTTAAGAATTCTCTCAGGAAATAGACAGTGTCACAACAGTAATCAAATATATACTTTTCTGATATAATTCTTCCATCTACAAAGTAAAAATCTAGAAATATGATTTACTTCCAGTAGTGATACTTTAAAACTATTTATTTTTACTTCCCACAGGTTCAAAATTTCTAGATTCTTTGTGAAGGCGAGTAATTTATCCTTGAATTCATTTTATTTTTTTGTATATTTATATCCAGGTCATGTAACCTGACATCTTAGTTTCTGTTTGTAGTATGTGTAGGCACACAGATCTGCTTTTACTATTTTCTGTCCATCAGATATATAAGAAACTAAAAAGGATAAAATCTACATATTCAGGAACATAAAAAAAGCACTGATAAAACTTTTCTGACATCTTTACTCCGTTTATAAGTCACACTAATGACTGCTTT